CGGGGAATCGAAACCCCGCCAGTTGACTCAATGACAGACCGTATGATACAACGCAGTCCCAAAGGCTAGCCTACCGTGCAAATTCCAGCCAGCATAATGAATCTATGTAAGAAACATTTATTCCTACTGGCGATTTACAAACAGACCCCAAGGCTAGCCTACCGTGTAATTTCCAGCCAGCTTAATGTATCTATATAAGAGACATTTATTCCTACTGGCGATTTACAAATATTGCATGAAGAAATTAAATTCATAAGAACAGAAACACGACTAATGCACAGTATCATATTGATTATAAAAGTACAATGTATATATTGGTTACACTATATATGTCACAAAACAACAATCATTAGATAATAATAATTATTTACTAATTATATAAATCATTTTAAGAGGAAGGAGTTATCCGTTGTTTAATTTAACAGTTATATAATTACTTTTCTCGGAAAAGCCGCCAATGATTTTTTTCAAACTTGCTTAATCGAGATTCTACTGGGTAGTGTATTGTGTGAAACCCTTGTACAATTTTTCTAATTGTCATGGGTAGCCCAAAAAAGAGATCGAAAATTGAAAACAGCGTATTTTTACGAGTTGGAGCATGTTTAGGGGTCAATATCTGAGTTATGCTAGAGTGTGTTTTTTTTGGGGGGGAGTGGTGGGGATAGTCTTTTGTCATGCATCTGGCGATCGTGTGACGCCTTTGCGACTGTGAAAGCCTTCAGCATTGCGCGCAATTCTAGTGATGATTGTTTTTACCAAAAAAACAATCATCCAACACATTGACCGTTTTATTTTCCACTTGAGCATATCTCAGAAACTACTTGGCGGATCTGTACGATATCTTTGGTTTAACTGTGACAATGTGAAATGTCCGAAATCACCGAAGTTGTCTTTTTTTTAAATGTCGCCGTAATATTTACAATAATCAACGGATTTTAACATTTGGCACATTTTGACATAGCCGGAGAGAGGGCAAATAGATACGGTACTTCAGATTTTTGATTTCTTGACAGATCTTCACTTATATTAGACGCGAAATTTTGAAAATTTAAATTTTTACAAAAAATATTTTTTGATGGTATTTTACACAGGATTAAATGGTCATCTAACTTGAGCAAAAATGTGAACAATTCTTGTCTCAGTAAATCGGGTTATCCACCATTGGCTAATTCAGTTTTTCGATCCTAGATTAATTATTTATTGTTCGATATGTGTGATAGAAAGTTCATAAGGTCCATTTTCCGAAATTTCATTTTTTTTGTTACCGTTAAAGTTTCCTGTCGGCAACGGGAGTGACATAATTTTACCAAAAACTACAAATTTGACAGTTCGGTATCACTTTTTAAAACTAAATATTATTTTTTCAAAATTTGACATTACCAAAAAGATGCGCCATGCAAATGTGCACAAAACATCGGACTCAGTTTTCTTAATTTCGATTTCGTTTTCGGGCTATTTCGATTAAAAGGTGAAAAATGGTGTAAAATATTTTAAAATATTTCTTCGTAACTTTCATAAAATCGTAGCAATAATCCATTCGAAGAGAATGTATGTGAAAATTAGTTTGTAATATGAGCGGTTGCCGAGAAACAGGCAATTTTTGCATGCGTCATGTTTCAAATTATTTTGCCTGTAAAAGAGTCAATTATCATTCGATTTTCAATTTGTTTTTACCATTTGATGCCTAAAACCAATTTGTACTAGGTCAAGCCAATTTAACATTTTTACCATCACCGGAAATGACGTCATTTGGTCAAAAACTGTATTTTTAGCCTTCAAAACAGATATTTTATTCAAATGAGTCTGATCTGTAATGTTTTTAAAATTATTATATTTGATTCCAATCAACAAATAGAATGAACCCATACGACAATACAGATACCATAAAAACATTTCTAACTTGTACGGATGCAGAGAAATAGACGATTTTCTTCAAGTCACTTTTCAAGGTTTTTTGTCTATGAAAGTGTAAATTATTATTCGATTTTCATACAATTTTCACCATGTGATGCCTTATGCCATTTATGATTTAATAGAACTAATTTAACATTTTCATTATCACCGGAAGTAATGTCATTTGGACAAAAACTGTATTTTTAGCTTTCAAAACAAATATTTTTTTGAAGTGAGTTATATTTATTATTCATTTAACATTATGATATTTGATTCCAATGGACATATAGATTGGATCAATACGATCATATAGATTTTTTTCCCATTAGAAAGTTACCTAACTTATCGGTAATTAGTAACAGATTTTGTTAGGATCACTTTTTTGTCATATGTAACACATGGTTACAAATGTATAGATGCAATTGATATTGCTAGATTTGGTTGATTCTGCATCTATTTGTGCAATGCCTATGTGGAAATCTGTTTAACGGTTTCATTGATACCAGAAGTGACATAAGTTCAAGGATATTTGTCGGATCAACTCGATGTCTTCGGTTTTACTGGAAAAGTGGGTGTGACTTAGAGATTAAAGCTATTTCGAACTTTCTGTGACAATGCGAAATGACCGAAGTTGTCGTTTTTTGAAATATTGCCGTAATATAACAATAATTGTCGGATTTTAACATTTGATACATTTTGACATAGCCTGAGACAAGGCGCCTGAGACAAGGCAAATAGCTACGATTGTTTAGATTTTTGATTTTCGATTAATCTTCGAAGATATTAGGCGCCAAATTTTGACAAAAAACTTTTTTATTTATGAATATTTTTTTATGGCGCTTTACCTATAATTAAAGGGTCATGTGATTTGAGCAAAAATATGAAAATTTTTTGTATCGATAATTCACCTTGGCCGCTATTGGCTAATTCAGTTTATGGGTTCTAGGTTAATTATTTATTGCTCGATTTGTATAAAACAAGGTTCATATGCTCAATGGTGCAAAGTCAAAGCTTTCTGCAGAGAAATAGACGTTTTTCTACAAGTCTATAAAAGTGGCAATTATTATTTGATTTACATAAAATTTTCACCATATGAATCCTTATGCTATTTCTGATTTCATAAAACTAATTGAACATTTTCATTATCACCGGAAGTACTGTACACTTACATGTAACAAATGTATAAAATGAATTGATATTGCTTGATTTGGTTGATTCGGCATCTGTTTTATTTGATGTGTACAATGCTTATGTGGAAACCTGTTTAATGGTTTCATTGTTACCGGAAGTAACATATATTTAGGGTAACATGGCACCGTTGAAACCCGTCATTACTGCATCGCAGTTCTAGTTTTGTTTATAGTTTTATTAATTGACTGTTTTCGCTAACTTAAAAAATCATGCAAACTGAAAAATAAAGTAATTTATGGTTAAAACTTTTTATGGCATGTAAATAGAATACATACAAACGTGTATAGTAAAATTTACTGCAACCAGTAACAAACTATCTCTTAATACAGGCGTATCTGTTTTATGGAATAATCTACCATTTAGTTTAAGATATTGTACAGATCTATATTCTTTAAAAAAAAAAACTATTTAAAACACAGTTATTTAAACGGGCTTTTAACCGACGCTACATGTCCATAATCTTGATTTTTTTAAAGATTAAATTGTCACTCTGTAAAGTGTCCCTAATCAAGTTACATGGAAGGGTGCACTATAATAATATATAGTAACAAAATTTCGATTTATAGTATTAATATTACTTTGTCCCCTTTATTTGAAAAACATCTCTCTGATGATAATAATAAATTTGAATTACTTCTCCGTACCAGTTGGAAACGTAATTGTCTAAGGTCTAAATGAAATGTGAAGTTTAATCAAATATAAAATTACAATGCTGTTTGTTTCAAAGCTGCGTTCGTTGGGTGGGCACGATGGCTAAGTGGGTAAGACGCTGGCTCGCTAGCCTGGAGGTCGGGTGTTCGATCCCTGCATTGGCCGGGAAGTGACATATGTTTAGGGTAACGTGGCACCGGTGAAACCCGTCATTACTGCTTCGCAGTTCTAGTTTGTGTTTGTGTTGTATAACAAATCAGTGTGGGAATTACTGTTCTAATGGATATAAAGATACAAATATTATGATTGTAAGCTTTGCTTCCTCCCAACAAAAATGAACACATTGTGTAAATGAACACATTGAAATGTGGTTGTTTGTATATTGTTATCGCCCCCGTCCATCAGTCCGGCGTCCACAATTGCTTGTGGACACTCTAGAGGCTAAAGTTAATATCCAATTGACTTTAATTTTATACACAGTGTTTAAGGTCATGAGATGAAGAATCGTATTGATTTTCAACGATTTCCGATAATTACTGCCAAAGTTATGGCCCTTGATCACTTTGAAAAATCTTGCGACACTCTAGAGGCTAAAGTTATCATCCGATTGACTTCAGATTGATACACAAAGTTGAAGATCTTGAAACGAACAAGTATATTGATTTTCAATGAATTTTTATGACTTGAACAGCTAAATCCATGATGTTAAAGTTTCGTATACTAAACGTTAGCATGGGGCAGAACTTCATAAAAACCAAACAAATTCTGATGGTTTTCTGATAATTACTTAATGAGTTGTTACTCTTAATCAGATTTTAATGTATTATAAATGTTTCATTACCGAAAAAAGTAAAAATATGCAACAACTCTTGTTGACTACGTGTACAATTTAGCTGCTGTGGGCGTATGTTTCGTTGCCTGGCAACCTGTCTGAATCACATATTAGGGAAATTGAATGGTTCAACTAATTTTTGACCAGGTTTGATAATTAACTGAGATGCTCATAAATGAACACTGGTCGATAAATTAAACAGTAGTAAATTGGAGGCTCATTATCAAAATTAGAACGTCAGATTTAAATTGGATACAAGTATGAATTGAATGCTTTTATCCAATATTCAACAATTTTTACGAATTTTCAATGTGTTAAAGAAAATAATGCAGACCTCTCGGGATTGAATGGTACTGGCAGGTCAGTGTAATATGTCAATCAACTTAGCTTTCTTATGTACTTTTTTTTCAACTGACGTTTTGATTATTTTCAGGTCAAGTACACCATTATTATCTATGTTAGGTAGAGGTTTACCCATGACTGAATGTGATAAAAATCGAATTATACCATTATTATATGTATTTTGTGCCATGTTTAGTCATTCCTTGTTAACATTACATGACGCTGATTTCTATGGTGATGAACACAGTAAGTTTTTATACGCCTACATTTTCATGTGGACGTATATTGCTGTCGCTCCTGTCCATCCATCCACAATTTATTTGTGGTAACTCTTCAGGTCACCATTTTTATCTGATTTTGATGAAACTTGAAATATAGCTCTATCTCTTAAAGATCTTGGTTCCTTTTGATATTGGCATGTATCGACCCATAACTTCATGGATTATAGCCCCTGATTGTACGAAATATCACATTTTTAACTTGTGGAAATGAAATGAAATGGAGTTTAACGTCCTACTGTTCTGCTCCTAACCTGGGCTAATGAAGATGGGCATAAGCCATACAGTGTGCTATGAGGGAAATATTGCCCGGACAGCGGCACTACGGCATACTCTTATATCGAATTCCAACTGCCAAGGGATCTTTTACGTGCACGCCAATGTGTACACGGGACCTCAGGTTTTTCGTTCCATCCGAACGACTAGACAGCTTTCCTTGTCAGCCCCTCCGTCCTGCATCACTGACAAGGGAGAACCACGCCGGAAAATCTGGGTGAACTTTCTTGGCCAATGCAGGGATCGAACACCCCTTTTAACTTGTGGACACTCTACACACCTCCGGTGAAGTTGCGTCAGGTTAAAATAAAAGTCCACAGCATACTGTTTGCATTTTCATTGACTAAATTCGAAAATATGCCAAATAAAAGAAAAAAAATATCTAAAAGTTTTCTTCTTCCGCGATATTCTGACATTCATTCTTGAAATTACTTGACAATTGAAGCAATATAGTAAAATGCATACCATTTATCACAGACGAGACATTATGTGAAAATCGGATACTCTCGCCAAGTTCTGACATCACTGCACTGAGAACTCTCAATCATGGTTGTTATTTGTACGTGTATTAAAAGAAAATTAATTTTCCGACGTTTACTCTGTATTACCGCGTTAAAACTGTAAATAAGGTGTGTTAATTAACAAGGGTGAAAAACTGTCTGAGGGGTGAGTTAATTAACGCTAGGGGTGAAAAACTGTGACAGTGCGTTTTCAGTAGAGGTGTGTTAATTAACTGACCGGTAAAAAATGAATGTCAATGTTGTGTATTGTTTAATTGGCGTGTTTTCTCTCTAGGGTACGGCAACACTCCCTTAGAGAGTAATTAAAGCTGGACAGGCTGATACATCAGCGTGGAGACTGGATCAAAAGATGATACCGGCGGGGCGGAGTAGTAAAATGAAATTAAAGAATTCACGCTCAACAGAATACACAACAGACTTGTAGAAGTAGAAGATTGTTTAATGGGTCGACGTTTCAGGTGCAATACCCTTTATCAAGATTAAATTGTGATGATCCTGTGACGCCTTATATACAATAATGGTGATGACGTCACAGGATTTTAAACGTGCAGAGGAGGAATAAAAGACTAGAATTCTAGTCTTTTATTCCTCCTCTGCACGTTTGAAGACTAGGAGGTTCTGGATGACCGAGACTATACGTATCAACTTATCCCATCAATACAGAAGAAGATGAAACAACCACCGCATCAGCCATCCTGGAGACCATTTTCTACTATTCACTTTAAATCGCTCCATAATTATCATCAATCTTTAAACAATTTTTTCTAATCATTTTAGCAATTTAATAAAATTTGTACATACATGTAATCTTATACTTCAATTAAATTTAACGATCCTTTCTTTCTTTTTTTAACAATCTTTATACTGTACATAAATAAATTTAAAAATCCTGTGACGTCATCACCATTATTGTATATAAGGCGTCACAGGATCATCACAATTTAATCTTGATAAAGGGTAATGCACCCGAAATGTCGACCCATTAAACAATCTTCTACTTCTACAAGTCTGTTGTGTATTCTGTTGAGCGGGGATTCTTTAATTTTATAAATCACATTAATTAGATGAACAGCCCAAAGCAGCTTTGAAATGAAATGAAATGAAATGAAATGGGGTTTAACGTCCTACTGTTCTGTTTTGACCTTGGCTAATTAAGATGGGCATACGCAATACAGTGTGCTATGAGGGAAATTTTGCCCGGACAGTGGCACTACGGCCTATTCTTATATCGAATACCAACTGCTAAGGAATCTTTTACGTGCACACCAATGTGTACACGGGACCTCGGTTTTTCTTCCCATCCGAACGACTATAACGAGCTATAATTATGTTCTTTCAGAAAGTATTCAAACATCATAAATTATTTGCTAGCTATTATAAAAACGTACAATACACAAACAGGGTAGGCGATATGATGAACGCTTCCCGAAGAGCTACCAATTTATCAGAATTTCCAAAAAATAATTTGACAAATCTTATAGTTTAATATCAGTATCTTCTCAAATAAAGCAACCGAACAGTTTTCCAATACGTGCAAATAAGCTTGTGCACGCCTTTACATGTATAAATAGAATTGACAGCTGTCCTTGTCAGATCCTCCGTCCTGCATCACTGACATAGGGGAATAACGCAGGAATATCTGGATGAACTTTCCTGGCCAATGCAGGGATCGAACACCCGACCTCCAGGCTAGCGAGCCAGCGTCTTACCCACTTAGCCATCGTGCCCACCCAACGAACGCAGCTTTGAAACAAACAGCATTGTAATTTTATATTTGATTAAACTTAACTTTTCATTTAGACCTTAGACAATTACGTTTCCAACTAGTACGGAGAAGTAATTCAAATTTATTATTATCATCGGAGAGATGTTTTTCAAATAAAGGGGACAAAGTAATATTAATACTATAAATCGAAATTTTACTATATATTATTATAGTGCACCCTTCCATGTAACTTGATTAGGGACACTTTACAGAGTGACAATTTAATCTTTAAAAAATCAAGATTATGGACATGTAGCGTCGGTTAAAAGCCCGTTTAAATAACTGTGTTTTAAATAGTTTTTTTTTAAAAGAATATAGATCTGTACAATATCTTAAACTAATTGGTAGATTATTCCATAAAACAGATACGCCTGTATCAAGAGATAGTTTGTTACTGGTTGCAGTAAATTTTACTATACACGTTTGTATGTATTCTATTTACATGCCATAAAAAGTTTTAACCATAAATTACTTTATTTTTCAGTTTGCATGATTTTTTAAGTTAGCGAAAACAGTCAATTAATAAAACTATAAACAAAACTAGAACTGCGATGCAGTAATGACGGGTTTCAACGGTGCCATGTTACCCTAAATATATGTCACTTCCGGTAACAATGAAACAATTAAACAGGTTTCCACATAAGCATTGCACACATCAAACAAAATGGACGCCGAATCAACCAAATCCTCCAATATCAATTTATTTTATACATTTGTTACATGTAAGTGTACAGTACTTCAATGTTCAATTAGTTTTATGAAATCGGAAATGGCATAAGGCATCACATGGTGAAAATTTTATGTAAATCGAATAATAATTGCCACTTTTATAGACCAAAAACCTTGAAAAGTGACTTGTAGAAAACCGTCTATTTCTCTGCAACCGTACAAGTTAGAAACCATTTTCTGGTATCTGTATGATCGTATGGGTTCAATCTATTTTTTGATTGGAATCAAATATCATAATTTTAAAAACATTACAAGTCAGACTCATTTGAATAAAATATCTGTTTTGAAGGCTAAAAATACAGTTTTTGCCAAAAAATTACTTGTATGAAATCGTAAATAGCATTAGGTATCACACAGTGAAAATTTCATAAAAATCGAATAATAATTGACACTTTTATGGACAAAAAACCTTGAAAAGTGACCTGTTGAAAATTGCCTATTTCTCCGCAACTGAACAAGTTAAAAACCATTTTGTGATATCTATATGATCGTATGGGTTCATTCTTTTAGTTGATAAGAATCAAATATCAAAATCTTAAACAAACAACAAATACGACTTATTTGAATAAATTATTTGTTTCGAAGGCTGTAAATACAGTTTTTGCCCAAATTTCGACATTTCCGGTGACATTGAAATTGAGTTGAACTAGTCACAATTGACTTTATGCATCAAATGGTGTCACTTTTATGAAAATCCAATAATAATTGACTCTTTTAAAGGCACAATAGCGTAAAGAGTGTCTGATGCAAAATTGACCATATCTCGGCAACTGTGCATATTACAAATTAATTTTCACATACATTCTCTCCGTATTTATTATTGCTACGAGTTTATGAAAGTTACGAAAAAATATTTTAAAATATGTAAACGCTGGATGGGTTGTAAATAGCTTAATTTTACACCTTTTTTCACCTTTTAATCGAAATAGCCCGAAAACGGAATCGAAATTAAAAAAACTGGACCCAACATTTTGTGCGCCTTTAAAGGGCGCACCCTTTCAGTTATACCAGATTTGAAAAAAATAATATTTGCTTTCGGAATATGGTACCTAACTGTCAAAATTGTAGTTTTTGGAAAAATTACGCCACTTCCGGTGCCGACAGATAACTCTATCGGTAACAAAAAAAGGACAATTGAGACACAAGGGTGCATATGAACTTTGTTTTATACAAATCGAACAATAAATAATTAATCTAGGACTGAAAAACTGAATTAGCCAATGGCGGCCAAGGAAAATTACGGAGACAAAAAAATAATTTACATTTTTGCTCAAGTCAGATGACACTTTGATTCTGTGTAAAACACGACTAAAAAATATTCATAAATAAAAAAAATTTTTGTAAAAATTTAAATTTTCTAAATTTGGCGCCTAATATCTGCGAAGATTTGCCGGAAATCAAAAATCAAAAGTAGCGTAGCTATGTGCCCTGTCTCCGGCTATGCCAAAATGTACCGAAAGTTAAAATCCAACGATTATTGTTAAAATTACTGCAATATTTTTTAAAACGATAGCTTCAGTGATCTCGGACATTTCGCATTGTCGCAGAACGTTCAAAACAGTTTTATCCTTTAAGTCATACCCACATTCCCAGTAAAACCGAAGAAATCGAAACGATGCGACAAGCCGTTGCTGAGATCTAATCAAAATGGAATTTGAATAATAATAATAATAACTA